AGTTAACCCAGAGCAACAGCCTATAGTTGGGGAAGGTGCGTGCCACAATAAAGCACTGTGTACAGTTATTTGCTATGCCATGGTGTGTCATTCTTGGAAAACAACCCTCAAAAGATACAATTTGATTTTATATCTCATATTATTCTTATGGCTATCTTTTACTATGAGACAACTTTTGTTTCCAGAACAGCATTTCTGCCCTGCTACGCTGGCCAATGAATATTTGTTTTAAAGCAATTTTATCTATTCCTCATCTTTTAAAAAACTGCTATCATTAGTATTGAGGTCTTGCAGATTTCACTTATTTTGCCTGAACAGATGGAAATGCTGGACAAATTAAGGAATTAAGGATTATTACTGAATCCATACCCATCACACCATTCTTGAGAGAGCACAGAAAAAGATCAGACCATACTGATTCTATTTGACAGAAATTACACACACACACACACACACCATACAATTATCTCACAATTATTCTAATAAGTTGCCTTCTCCATCTGACTAAAGCATAACTTTTGTTTCTTTTACAAAATAATTCTTATGAGAGTGCTATAGCATTTGCTTCATTCAGCCTCTGCCTCTAATCAATGAAAAGGTGATAAATCTAACAATATAAATCTTTTTTCCCCCCAAAAAACCTCCCAAATCTTAAAAAAACAAAACAAAAAAACTTACCACTACAGATATGTTTTGTAATCTTCTTTCTATTTCTGTGATAATTATGCAGGAGTCAGGACCTGTGGAGTGAGTGAAATGTTTTGTGAACCAGAAAAGGGCAATTTGTAGCCCAAAGATGAACACTTGGGAAATCATGTTCTGCATAAATAGGAAGGAAAAGCAATTATTCTGAACTGGTGGTGAGTTTATGACATATATCTACAGATACCTAAAACATAAACAACAAGGAGTTGTTCAAGGCTTTAAGAGTATAAATGTGAGATCACTGCTGGGGAAACCACAAGCTCATAATGATTCTATCAGCTCTCTACTGATGAGGTCATAATTATTTGCATGCTTTCATCTCTTTTGTGGTAGGTTGACCATTACCTTTGACTGTTTGGTTCTAATGACATGCCAACTCTTTATTTTCTCTCTTTATGAATGCACAGTCTTCGTAGCCTACATACAGCCTTCTATCTTTTCCCCATTTCAGAAACCAACTTCCCAAGCTTATCAACTATTTGTTTAGCTGATTTCCTGGAATTTATGAGAGTTCGTAATAAAAAAGGAAAGGAAAAATCCAAAATTTTGCTAAGAAATTTTAAATGCAAGGATTTAGATAGATCTTAAGCAAAAACAAAACAAAACAAAAACAAAAAAAGTTTCTTCAAAGGGAAGACTTAAAAGAATTGTAGGGAAAAATATACCATAATCACACTTAAAATATAATCTGCTTGAACATACTCAAAATTAAAGCTCACACCCTTCTAATATATTAAAAAATCATAAACATTTATGATTGGTTTGAAAGGATATCATTTTTATTTAATAGAAAGAACAGGATGGATTAAAGCTTTTCTATAGTGATCATTTATTTATTTATTTACTCAATTTATTAGCCGCCCATCTCCCTTTAGCCAAGCAACTCTAGGCAGTGTACAACAAGGTTAAAAAACAATAAATAAATACATTAAAAAGTATAAAAAATATTTAAAAAACTAAGTGAAACAGAAAATAATAGATGAAGGGATGTTAAAAATAATGGAGCCACCTCACTAGATCACCCGTCCTCTGGGGTCCCCAGGCCTGCTGACACAACTAGGTCTTGAGGGACTTCTGGAAGCTCAACAGTGATGAGGTCAACCTGACCTCAGGGGGAAGAAGGTTCCACAGCGCGGGCACCACAGCAGAACAGGCCAGCCACCTAGAGCCCACCAAATGTGGCTCCCTAGGCATTGGAACCCATAACATGCCCTCTCTGCCGGATCTGGTAGGATGGGAAGATGAAATCAGGGAGAGGAAGTTCCTCAAGTAACCCGGTCCCATGCCATGAAGGGCTTTAAAAGTCAACATCAGCACCTTGAATTGGACCCAGAAACAGACTGGTAACCAATGCAGCTGGTGGAGCAGAAGTGTAACATGTGTTCTACAAGAAATACACATAACTGCCCTCACTGCTGCATTTTGCACCAGCTGAAGTTTCTGGATATTCTTCAAGGGCAGCCCCATGTAGAGCTCATTGCAGTAATCTAACTGGGAGGTGACCAGGGCATGAGTGATGATACTTTATTATGATACATAAAGAACATTCAGTGTTAATATATAGTTTAAATAATTTGCATGTAAATACAAGGAAATCATTTTATTAAAACCCTTTGCTCTGAGTACTTTGGATTATGCTCTTCTATCTAGTCATATTCCCATGTTACTTTTATACGGTAGTTGCTGTGGTCTCCCATGCCAATTAAGGTTTTGGAGATTTGAGTTAGCATTTTAAATTGGTTCTGGAAACTGATTCATGAAGCTCTTTTTACTTAATTATAATTAAGTCTATAATTAATTATAAATGTTATCAGTTCTTCAGTTTGTAATAGCTTTCCCCATTTCATTTTCCTTAGCCTTAACAGTTTCCAGCTTACTCATCCAAAACCTACCTGTTGCTGATCTGAAAGTTATGTGTATCACTGTTCCTATACAGCGATACACATGAGTATACTTCTATATATGTGGGCCTCTCTTTAGATTATCTCCCTCTATTATTGTTTATTTGATGTGTGCTCTGAATATGTAGTACAGCTGCAGCCAGATCTCACAATTCTAAGAACAGAACTGTCAAACAACTACCTCCTAAAACACAGAAAACACATTACATATGCCTCCTGAGGCTTCAAGACATCTTTCCTTTTTCTCTCTGTCTCTCTCTCTCCGCTTCTCTCTCATCAAGCCTATCAATTATGACACTGCAGTTTATGTGGGTCAATAGGTGACAGAAACTGTATTGGATTTATGGGTAAGCAGTGAACTAGTCATGTCTGTAGATGATACTAACTATTCAGGATGGTGAAAAAAGAGTAACTGTGAAGTCCTCCAGAAGGACCTCATTAGCCTGGGTGAACGTCAGCCGTGGCAAATGCAGTTCAGTTTAATACAAAGTGAAGTGAAGTGCGGCATAAGGCACAAACTTCACATATGAAGTGATGGGGGCTCAGCTATCTGTAACTAACCAGGAAAAATATCTTGAAGTCATTGTAGATAGCTCAGTGAAGATGTTGGCTTAGGGCAGGGTTCCTCAACCTCGGCAGCTTTAAGATGGGTGGATTTCAACTCTATATGGTGTAACCAGTAAAAGAACTGAACTTGGTTGGACTGTTTTCCTGTTGTTCTTGGACTGGGCCTGACAGCTCAGAGGGATCAATCCTGCCTGGATCAAATGTCCTGAGGGGTCCACTGAGGTAAAATCTGAGCACCAGCACTGGAGCACCCATAGCAAGCTAGCAAACGGATGTGTAAGAAATTTTGATCTCTTCTAACAGCACCTTGTACTTCCTTTCTGGAAATAAAGTGTGATTTGTTTAGCCCATGCTGTATCCTTTCCATATTCAAATATGAGCTTTAAGGATTTTTGCCTGTCAGACCTTGCTCTATAAAACATATGCTAGGAATTATTAGAAAAGGAATTGAAAAGGAAATAGTCAACATTGTCATGTTGTTACATAAATTTATGACATGGCCAGAGCTGAATAATGTGTACTGGTCTGGTCACCACATTTATAAAAGGATAAAATACAGCTGAAAAAAGTACAGAAGAATTCAATCAAAATAGCCTGTCAGCTTGACTGTTTCCCTATCAAGAAAAGGCTAGAACAGTTGAGACTCCTTAGCCTGGAAAAAGGCACATGAAAGGCAACATGTTCAAGGCGTATAAAATTATACAGGGTATGGAAAAAGTGGGCTGAGATAGGATTTTCTCAGATTTAGAACAGACAAACACACAAACCAAACTTCTTTACATGGCTCATTTGGTTCTTCATCTCAGCATCCTGGGCCAAGGAATAATACGGAATGTCACAGCAACGGGTCCAGTATATTCCGAACGCTTGCAACTTCCACGGCCTGGAGATCAGTCACCACCCCCTTTTCTCTTTGCTTGTTACTGAGCCTGACAAAGCAGTTGGGAAACCTGAAAGCTTGTGTACTTTGTGCTTTGAGTTTGCATAATGAAAAATGTTAATTAAACACAATACTGGCAGTATTGTAAAAGTTCTCACATTAATTCCCTTAGATATGAACTGACATCATAGTTTAATACTTTATTGAATGAAGGAGTCAGCACAGAAAATGCATTAAAAATATATCCTTATTTTACCTGTTAGGGCACAAAGAAAATACAATTTTGCAGTTTCCCTCTAGAAGGTCTATGAAAGAATTAAACCCGTACATCATAGATAACGCAAAGAGCTCTGTTTTATTTTCTTTGAGAATGTCTTCTCACTCTGAAGAACATTCTGAAAAACATTCAGATTAAAGCCATTCCCTTGCAGCGGAGACCCAGGACCCATTTTCTTAAGCCATAACAATTCTTAAACTTGTCCACAAGTTTGGGGATTCAGCGTGTGTCCTTCCTTCCAACACTGCTGATAAGGGATAATGATGGGGAGACCTTAGGATACTGATTGGCCACTGTAGGTCAGGTGATATCCCCTAACCATGACCAAAGTTGCCAACCATATTTGGTTTATTTGCTGATTTGAAGACCAAGAAGAGTTGCTTTGTAATCACAGGAGACTGTCTTTCAGTCATCAGCACAGTGGACACTAAGTACCCTCAAAGTTTACATATTTCAAGGATACTTCTAATATAAAGACCTTTAATCTCAAATTTTAGCTGCCTGGATTATGATGGGGATTGTCAGCCATCTCCATTGTCACTTCCTCATCAACTGTTACAATTATTAACTCACTTGGGAAACAAACCAGCCTAGTCATTTGGTAATCAGAGTGGCTTCAACTACTATAGGTCTGGATGGGCTGGTAAGGAAAAAGCTAGT